CCCATAGACCTATAGCCCTATGGCCCTATAGGTCACAGTCCTATAGCCCTATAGCCCGATAGCCCTATAGCCCGATAGCCGTATAGCCCAATAGCCCTAACAAAAATATGATCGGGGTTGTTCTCCGGTATCATTTCATAATTCGCGACCAAACGGGCTTCGCGCGCGCATGCCGAGTTCGGTCGAACGCCTTTGCGCGCGTGCCGTCGCGAGAATCCCGTTCAACAAATGAAACGAAAAGCACGCGCGCGCATCGTCGCGCGCGCAGGCCGAAATCCGTCAAAAACCTTCGGGTCCGGAAGAATTTCAAAATCGAGTGCCCATGCAAATATATTAAAACCATGGTTTAGCAACTCTGATTCTTATATCAAAAACGCGCGCGCACTTGCGAAATCTTGAGTTCTTCGTTGATACAAGAACAGATCACCATTATCACGAAAATGCTACCAGACCGGCTCCGCGCGCGCGCGTCGAAATCCTTCGAACGCCCTTACGCACGCGCCGGGGTGGCACGATCCGTGTCAGATCGTACCAAGCGAGCCACTCTCGCGCGTCTGCCGCACGCGCATGTTGAATTCCTTCCCGAACCTTCATCACCGACGCGAAGACGCCGTCATCGTCGTCGGCGTGATCAGCATCGGCGCCGTCACTGGCTGCCCCGCCGTCGCCGTCAACATCGCCACCAGCATCGCTACCATCATCATCGTGTCTACCGTCGTCGACGTGGCTATGGTACCGCGCCCGCCCAAGTCGCCGACTCGCACTGAAGTGCCCGCTGGGATGTGCCGAGCGGTCAGCGCCACCGAGTTTGCGGCGGTCGCGCTGGGCTAGCCGGCGGCTGCGCGCGCGAGCATCCGCGGGCTAGCGCGGCCGCAGAGATGCACCAGTCAACATCCAGCATTCATCGGAATCGCTCCCGCATGGGTTTTGCAAGCCAAATTGCGGGTGGGTGGGTGGGACGATTGCGCGGGCAATGGAGTTGACAACTCCAAGTTCGGCAAATGAAATCTTCTTTCTTAAAAAAATTAACAGACTCTACCGCCCCCCCACCCGGCATTATCGGTCCCCCTTTCGGGCACGTAATTCATGTACGATTCTGAACACATGTCCACCCTAAGTCTAAATTTACACTAACCCAGGGGGGCCGGTATCGACCCCCTGAGGTTCCCTTGGAGAAAAAAAAAAAAAAACGATACGCGGGGGCATCTTTTGTTCGAACATAACACTGTTTCACGAATCCCTTGCAAAAAAACTGGACGAAGTGCACACGCGCGCATCGTCGCGCGCGCATGCCCAAATCCTTCAAAAATCTTCGGTGTCGGAAGGATTTCGCAATCGAGTTTCCAAACAACATACAAAAACACAAAGCTTCGCAACACTGGTTTGCTAAAAAAGCATACGCGCGAGCTCTTGCAACATCTTAAGAAAACCGTTCAATATTTTCAAAACATGCTACCAAACGGGCTTCGCGCGCGCGCATGTCGAAATCTGTCGAACGCCCTTGCGCGTGTGCCGTCGCGAGAATCCTTTCCAAAAAAACGGGACGAAATGCAAACGCGCGCGTCGTCGCGCGCGTATGCCGAAATCCTTCAAGCCTGGTTTCGGGTTTCAAAATCGAGTGCCCAACAAACCTACAAAAACACAGAGTTTCGCAACACGGATTTTCGACAAAAGCGTGCGCGCGCGCTCTTGCGTCGTCGCCGTCGTCACCGTCCTCCCTCCTCCCTCGTCGTCGTCGTCGTCGTCGTCGCCGTCGTCGTCCTCTGTCTTTCCTCGTCGTCGTCGTCGTCCTCTTTGGCGTCGTCGTCGTTTCCGTCGTCGTTGTCGCCGTGGTCGTCCTTAGTCCTCCCTCGTCGTCGTCGTCGTCGTCCGTCGTCGGCGTCTCGTCGTCGTCCCTCCTATTTCGTCGCCGTCGTCGTCGTCGTCGTCGTCGTCTTGCCTCTTCCCTGAGCGTTGTCGTCGTCGGCGTCGCCGTCCTCCCTCCTTCTTCGTCGTTCGCGTCGTCGCCGTCCTCCCTCATCCCTCGTCGTTGTTGTCGTTGTCGCCGTCGTCGTCCTCCCTCCTCACTCGTCGTCGCCGTCGTCTTCGTCAGTGACGTCGTCGTCGTCGTCTTCGTCGTCGTCGTCGGCGTCGTCGTCGTCGTCGCCGTCGGCGTCGTCGTCGTCCGCATCGTCGTCGTCGTCGTCGCCGTCGTCGCCGTCGTCGTCGCCGTCGTCGTCGTCGTCGGCGTCGTCATCGTCGTCGTCGGCGTCAGCGTCGTCGTCGGCGTCGTCGTCGTCATTGTCGTCGTCGGTGTCGCCGCTGTCGTCGTCGTCGTCGTTATCGTCGTCGTCGTCGACGTCGTCGAATTCGTCGGAGCCGTCGTCGGCGTTGTCGTAGTCGTCGTCGGCGACGTTTTCGTCGTCGGTGTTGTCGCTGTCGTCGTCGGCGTCGCTGTCGTCGCCAAGTGCCATTTGGTATCCACCGTCGTGGTCTGAAGATGTCTTGCGACCAAGTTGCGGATGGGAGGGTGGGATGTTTGCACGAGCCGTGGAGAGGACAGCTTTAAGACAGTCAAAGTGAATTACACCACATAGATTGCAGCACGTATATTGCAGCACGTAGGTTACTCCACAAACATTGCACAACATATATTGCACCACATCCACTGTACCACATACATTGGCTAAAAGCACGCTGTGCAGGGTCCACGCTGGCCAGCTGACATGTACGCATATACCTGCATTTCGCCATATGGAGCGCACTTCATAGCTGCCACCACACTGATTGCGCCTGGTATCTTGCTCGGCATAGATTGCACCACGTAACTTCCAGACCATGAATTTCAACCCACAGGTTGCGCCGCAGAAATTGTACCACGCTCGTTGCACACATCCAGAGTTGAAGAACCGCAAGGTCGGGGAACACCCTGGCAACCAATATGTGTTGCTTGAATTCTAGTGTCCTGAGCAACTTGTCCGAAAGGATCCTGTAAACCGTTCGAGAGCGCGTGTGAGCTCCTCCAAATCCAGAACCAGCGGTATGGTCTCCCGCCTGGTGCTGCATGGTCTGCCGTGCGGTCTCCCGTACTGTCTCCCGTACGGTGTCCCGTCTGGTGTCCCGTACAGTCTCTCGCGCCGGCATGGCTTCCTATAGGGTCTCAGGCACGGTCTCCCGTACACTCTCCCGGATGGTTTTGAGGAGCTGTGAAGGCAGAACAGGCGAGGAAAGACAAAGACGAACGGGGCAAATGACGAGAACAAGCGCCAGGGAACGGCAATCGACGGTGCCGAAGACATCTTGCCATTCCAACTTACGTGCCCGCATCCGGTAGTGTCGCTCGTATGGTATCCCGTGTTGTCTCCCGTATGGTCTCCCGTATCGTCTCCCGTACGGTCTCCCGGTCTGAGATGGTCTCCCGTATGGTCTCTCTATGATGCCCCGCTCGGTTGCCCGCATGCTCTCCCCTATGGTCTCCAGCATGATCTGCCGTATGGTCGCCCATCCGGTCTCCCGTGCGGCATGGTGTCCTGCATGGCCTTCCTTTTATGGTCTCCTTGCTCTTTACCTGACATGTTCAGGGTCTGCTTCCGGCGGGGTGTAATATCAAGAGCCCCGTTTGAGGCCTCGGAGGGTCCTCGAGGCCTACCGGCGACTTGTGGGGACCTCCAGATACCTCCTCGCTGTATTTCTTATTAATGTGTACTCCCACCCTGCCACCTAACCCAGCGGGCCGGTAGCCCTGCACGCGGTACGGCTATCCAAAACGGTACAAAGTCGACGTGCTTCCTCTTAGCGTGGAGGTTCTGCCGTCAATGATGCGAAACGCGTAGCAGGAATGGGGGGGCGGCGCACATCACGCTCGAAAGGAAGAAATACAATTCTCGCCTGAGCGCCGCGCTCTGTTCCTGAGAACTGGCCCACCGCGTGGGCGCGGCGCGCTTCTCTCGCTCGCCAATTCGTCGATAGCAAGGTCGCGTGGGAAATGGCGAAGTGACGCTCTCGCTCGCCTGAGGGTGGCGTTCTCGATTGGGCGCGGCGCATATTTGTCACCCGCCACGTCGTTGGGGGCGGGGCATGCGCGAACGGGCGAAGGCCTCACCGAAGCCCCGTGCACATTCCGCCTGGAAGTGGAGTTCCCGCTGCGGCGCAGCGCGTGTTTTTCGGTTGCCGCGTTGCGGGGAAGCGGCAACGGCCAAAATTAGGCCGCAACTGAGCAGGTGAAATTACGTTCTAGCCCAGGCGTCGCGCAGACTTGTATGGCAAAAGCCGCGCTCCTTCGGCGCGGCAGATGCTAGGCCCTCGCCGCGCTCATCGGAGTCTTGGCAGCGCGAGCGAAGGCTGAATGGTGCTCTCGCCGCAGCGCCGCACCCGTGTGCGGCCCGTGCGTTCCCCCTCGCTACGTCGTGGGAAACGGGACCGCGCGCGAGCGCCTTCCGTTCGCTGTAGGGAGCGCGCGCCAGTCCCAAAAGCAAGGTGTTCCACCATAGGGTCTCGTGCTGTGGGATTGCCGTCGCTCGGACGTCCATTTCCCGTGCATTTTTCGGTTTCGTCTGGGTGGGGTGGTGGTGGGTCTGAGTGGGGCCCACTGGCTTGATTGCCCTGGCCAGCTTGAGCATGCTCTACCCCTGCCACTCCGGATAGAGGGGGCATGACGGCAGGAGGGAGAGAGGACGGCACGAGGAGGGGGGCCGGAGAAAGAGGCACAGAAGGGCGAGGCACGAGGCTGGACGGCCTGCGCCCCGAAGCACCCGCCTGGCACACACACACACACATGAGATCGGGGGCCAGGAGGGTGAGTGATAAAAGCAAGATGGGTACGAGAGGGCGGGCGGCGGGTGCGGCTGGGGGGAGGGAAGACAAGGCAAAGGCCTCCCTCCACATCCACTCCGTTCCGGGAAAGGCGCCTCTTGTGTGAAGCGCTGGCGCAACACCCCCAATGACCATCCTTCCATGATGTCCCTCTGTCCCCCCCATCCGCGATCGCCGCGCGCGCACAAGCAGAAGCCCAGGAAGAGGTCCTTCTTGAGCCCGCAGCCCTTAATGAGAGTCGTGTACAGTATAGTGTTGCGGTGCTTCTTGCCCTTCTTCATATCCTGCCCGAGAAGGTCCCAAAGAAATGCCCCCCAGGAGCACGGTGAAGACACAGCCGTGGCCTCGCCCAAAAGATGACCCCGCCGCTCTTGGTGTCAAAAAATCGGTTCGCGTAGCAGTCACGGAGCGGGCCAGGAAGACGGGATGACCAGGTCCAAATGCTACTGGCCGACATCATCATCATCGTCATCATCATCATCAGCAGCATCATCAGCATCGTCATCATCATCGTCATCTGCATCATCATCATCGTCGACATCATCATCACCATTCTCATCAACATCATCATCATCATCATCATCATCATCATCATCATCATCATCATCATCATCATCATCATCATCATTATCATCACCATCACAATGATCATCATGATCAAACTCATCATTATTATTATTATCATAGAAAGAGCGTGTTCTACCGCTGCTGGCGGAAAACCAGGGGGGGGTCACTGGGGGGTCCCAACTCCCAACCCTTCCCCTCCCCCCTCCCTCGAAAACGAGGGGGGGTCACTACCGCGGTTCGAACCCCTCCCCCCAGTCCATCAAGAAAAAGGGGAGGGTCACTACCGGTTCGAACCCCACCCCGCCCCCACCCTGCCCCCTCGCCGCCGGCAAACAATTCCCCCTCCTTGGAACAGTTGGACACTAGTGGGGATACTGGGACAGTGGTGGGGACGGTGGTGGTGGGGACAGTGGTGTGGCGACAGTGGTGTGGGGACAGTGGGACAGTGGTGCGGACAGTGGGACGGTGGTGGGGACGGTGGTGGTGGGGACAGTGGTGAGGGGACAGCGTGACAGTGGTGGGGACAGTGGGGACAGTGGGACAGTGGTGGGGACGGTAGTGGTGGGGACTGTGGTGAAGGCGCTGGTGAGGACGGTGGGACAGACGTACAATGGGGAGAGTGGTGGGGACAGTGGGGACAGTGGGGCAATGGTGGGGAGAGTGGGACAGCACAGTGGGACAGCGGCGGGGACAGTGGGGACAGTGGGGACAGTGGTCGGAACAGTGGGGACAGGTGGTGGGGAAAGTGGGGACAACGGGAAGAGTGGGACCGTTGTGAGACAATGGTGGGGACAGTGGGGACAGTGAGACACTGGTGGGGGCACTGGTGGGGACAGCGGGGACAATGGTGGGAACAGTTGGGACGGTTGGACAGTGGTGGGTACTGTGGGACAGTGGTGGGGACTGTGGTGGTGGCGACAGTGGTGTGGGGACAGTGGGACAGTGGTGGGAACAGTGGGGACAGTGGGACAATGGTGGGGACAGTGGTGGTAGGGACAGTGGTGAGGGCGGTGGCGAGGACGGTGGTGGGACAATGGGACAGAGGTACAGCGGGGACAGTGGCGGGGACAATGGAAACAGTGATGGGAACAGTGGGACAGCTCAGTGGGACAGCGGCAGGGACAGTGGGACAGTGGGACAGTGGGACAGTTGGGACAGTGGGGACAATGGTGGGGACCGTGGGAACAGTGGGGACAGTGGGACCGTGGTGGGAACAGTGGTGGGTACTGCGGGGACGGTGCGACAGTGGTGGGGGTACTGGTGGGGACAGTGGGGACGGTGGTGGGAGCAGTGGGGACAGTGGTGGTGGCGACAGTGGTGCTGGGGACAGCGGTGGGGGAGTGGGGGATGTGGTGCGGACGATGATGGGGACCCCGGAGTCATTTGCCGGCGGTGAATCGGGGGGGGGGCGGGGGGGTTTCGAACCGGTAGTGACCCCGCTCGGTTTTCCGGGGGGGGGGGGTTCGAACTGGTAGTAACCCTCCCTGTTTTCCGGAGGGGGGGGTGGGGATTTTTCGACGGGGGGGGATCCCCAGGTTCTGGAGGAAGAGGGGGCAAATGTTCCACAGTAAAGCGGCGGTGGATCACGCCCTCTCTCATCATAAGCATTACCATCACCATCATCACCATCATCACCATCATCATCATCATCATCATCATCATCAGCATCAGCATCAGCATCAGCATCAGCATCAGCATCAGCATCAGCATCAGCATCAGCATCAGCATCATCATCATCATCATCATCATCATCATCATCATCATTGTCATCATCATCATCGACGTCGTCGTCGTCATCAGCATCAGCACACTTTCAAGCTTCAACATCGGCATCAGCATCATCAGCATCAGCATCATCATCAGCATCATCAGCATCATAACCATTATAATCACCAAAATCATCAGCATCATCACCATCATCAGCAGCATAATGATTATCATTAGCCTCAGAACTCTCATCATCCGCATCATCATCATCAGCAGCAGCATCATCGTCATCATCATCATCACCATCACCATCACCATCACCATCACCATCACCATCACCATCACCATCACCATCACCATCAGAGACCATGTCTTTGGAGGGTAGCTCAGCGGCGCCGCAGCCGAAAAGGCCTTTGAAACCCTTGGCCATAGAGGAGCTCGCCAGTCGCAGGTTTGGGAGGCTCGGAGGCGGCAGCAGGTTGGTGCCAAGCAGGCGGCTAGTTACTGAGACTCAGAAGAGGCAGAGGCCGGGGCTCGCACGTTCTCCCCGATCTTTTTTTCTTTTTTTTCGTTCCCGTCGCCTCATCCATCCCCATTCACCCCTTCCCTTCTGCAGGGCTGCATCCGACGTGCCTGGCCCAGGAGCAGCATCCGACTCGAGTCGCCCCGAGGTGAGCCCCCGTGGCCGTTCCGCCCCAGCGGCCCGAAGAGCAGCACGCTGAGTACATCGGCCACCGCAGGACGCGGCATTTGGCAACCAAGGCCTGAGGGGGGGTGCGGGGAGGCTGCGAGGGGGAGACAGGGAAACCTGGGGCAGTAGCAAGCATCCAATCCAGGAATGCGGAGGATCGCCGTGCCACGTGTGCATGTGCCACCGCACGGGCCGCTCAAGAACCGACTTCCAACAAGTAGCATGTTTGCCAGCGTGGGCCCCACACCGCAAGTTATTTTACTGTGGATGTGCGAGCTACGTGATACAATATATCTAACGCAATAGAGTAGAACAACTTATGCAATGCACGCTGTGTGGTTCAGGCCATGGGGTGCAAGCTGTTCGGTGCAAGCCACGTGGTGTAAGATGCGCGGTGCAGGTGCAGGGTGCAAGTATATGAGGCGCAGGCTGCATGGCGCGCGCAGTGCGGCGTAAGCTACGCGGTGGAAAAAAAACTAGGTGCTGACAGCTGTGCCGTGCAAGCTGTGCGGTGCAGTGTATGCGGCCGCCCAGCGCACGAGGCGCCCACGGGCGAGCACCAGTCGAGGTGCTGAGGTGCTGACTAAATCGAACGGGTCCGGACCCCAACGCTCGGCGCTACGGCCGCGAAAGGAGCTCAATGCACGCCCACCCAGCGCACGACGCGCCCACCAGGCGCCCGCGAGGCGCCCACGGTCGGCCACGAGGCGAGACCTCGGCACGCCCGCCCCGCGCACGGGGCGCCCACGGTAAAGGCCTCCCCGCCCGACTGCCGCGTGTCGTCCGACCCGAGCTGTGCTTCTGCCGCCCTCCGCAGCATTCTGACGAAGGCAGCATGCCAACGTCTGGATCCCTCGAGGGCGGGGCCCACGCATCGAATGGAGCAACGCGCTGCGTGAGCGTATGTCAACTGCAGGGCCCCTCGGAAGCGAGGCCCATGCTCGCTGGCTTGCATGCCGCCCCCGCTTCGGCGCGCTGCACTGGCGAGTCCCTCGAGCGGTATTGGCACGCCGACTCATAAAGGCGAGGGCTTGAGAGGGCCGCGCGACGCAGGCATGGGCCGTCTCAGGGCGAACAAAGCCGCCGGCTCAATGAGCACGTCCTCAAACCGATGCCCATCGGTAGACGTGCTTGAAGGAGGTATCGAACGCGACAGGGCCGTGTAGTAGACGCACTAGAAGCTTAGCAATAAACGCTAGTCATAGGGGTCGGTTTGTTTTTCCTCCGTTTAGCCAGATTGAATGTTGTCCTCCCCCCCGCTCCTCACTCCCGTGCAGTCAAGCTTTTGCCACGAGGAACATTCGGGGAGGAACGGCGCCCCTTTTTGGCCCAAGTCGAGCCTAAATTGAAGACGCGGACTGTCGCTCCTGACACCGCGTGAGCCGTTCAATTTCGAGACACCTCCGGTATCCGACACGGCGGAGATCGTCCAAGGTCAGGCCACCAGTGGCCTTCAAACTTGACCGTTCGCGTCGGCGTCGCCACCGCGTCAACGCGGCGCGGACAGCAAGTCTTGTTAAACATGGGCACTGGCTGCTTCCGATCTTCGTTGCCCCTGTCTCCGTCCCCATGCCGATCCTTGGGCGTCCCAAAGCGGTGCGGTGACTCCGTGCGGCGGCCTCGAGATCCCCCAAAACCTCACCGCACGGTCCGTCACTGCACCGTCCTGGGACCCCGAGGGCCCCGACTGCTAGAGACGTCCTCGGAGGGCGACCCGAGTGCCCAAGCTGTGCGGTGGCCCCGACCCGAACCCCCAGTGAATCGCCACACGCACGCACGCACGCACGCACGCACGCACGCACGCACGCGCACACGCACGCGCGCACGCACACACACAGAGACACACACACACACACACACACACACACACACACACACACACGGTGTGGTCACCGCACCGAGTGGGGGGCCCTGAGAAGAAAGGGGGGGCGGCTGCTCGGACCCCTCCCGGGGTCCAAACGCACCAATTTCCCGAGCTGCGTGCCGCCGTGACGCAGGGGGCCCTTCGAAGGCCAACGTTGCCGTTGCCTCCAGTCGCCCCCCTCTGACCACTGCGGCGAGGACACTAGGTAAGAAACCCTTGGATGGGGAACTCAGAGTGAACACCTGATGGAGGAAGGAAAAAGTTGAGGCTTGGCCATGGATGTCACCGTCGCCCTCTTTGGATGAGGAATGCTCCCGGGCCTGAGGCGCCCCAGGAGCAGCTCCTCCTCCTCCTCCTCCTCCTCCTCGAATCCTCCTCCTCCTCCTCGAATCCTCCTCCTCCTCCTCCTCCTCCTCCTCCTCCTCCTCCTCCTCTTCCTCGAATCCTCGTCCTCCTCCTCCTCCTCCTCCTCCTCCTCCTCCTCCTCTTCCTCCTCCCATTCTGTGCACACGGGCCCCCGCCACCGGCCTCCGCCCTGGCTTGCCGGCAGCTCCGCCCGCATGTCTCCACGAGCGCCCCCGCCGCACCCGCGCCCCCCTGCCGACCTCTCCCGAAGAGGGCGGGGGAGGCAGCGGCTGCCCAGGGAGGGGCTGCCCGGGGGTCCCGGAAGATCTCCAGGGCCTTCTCGAGGAGGAGGAGGAGGAGGAGGAGGGGGAGGAGGAGGAGGAGAGAGGAGGAAGAAGAAAGAGGAGGAGGAGGAGGAGGAAAGAGGAGGAGGAGGAGGAGGAGGAGGAGGAGGAGGAGGAGGAGGAGGAGGAGGGTCCCGGAAGATCTCCAAGGCCTTCTCGAGGCGGCCGCACTTCACGCACGCGTCGATCATGCAGCCGCACCTCGGCCCGGCTGCGAGAGAGAGAGCGCGGCCCGGCCAGGGCGGGGACGCCTCGGGAGGAGGCTCCCGATCCAGACCCCGGACGCCTCGATGCTTGTGCATCGCGTCGACTCCTGGAGGTCTCTCGGCCCTTTCCCCAGGGCCGGTGTCTCAGCCTGAATCGATGTTGGCGGTCCCGAGGCCCGGTAAGTGCTCCCTGAGGTCGAAGATAGCGAACAACTGCCACCACGTTTTTGTCCGTGACCCGAGGAGGTCTGGGAACGCCGCGCCTGCACAGCTCCCTGGTTCCCTCTCCCGAGGGCAACGAGGGCCACCGCTCCCGTCTCCAGATGACCCCCTGCGTGCGGCCCCCGTCCCTTCACTCCAGCTGTCGTCCCTCTCTTTCCTTCTGGCCTCTCCTAGATCCCCGTCCATCCCCCTCCCCTCGGGGCCCGGACCTAGGGCAGCACTGCTCGACGGGCAACGACGGGGAGGTTCCCAGACCTCCGGCGTCACGTCAAACTCGACCCAGCTGGGCTTTCTTCAACTGAGGCCCTCATCGGAAGCCCGGTGCTAGCCGCTCTTCTTGCTCTGGCGCTTTCTTCCTGCCTCCTCGCCAGGTTTCCAGTGCACCCTTGGCTGCCCACACGTTCGTATGGATGCTTGGCTCTTGCTTGCTTGCGCTTCCAGCCCGCGGGCCATAGCAAAAACGGCCCACGATGAAAGACCCGTCCTTGGGATACAATGGAGGCCAGTCCGCAAGAAATCTTCCACTGGAAACCCGACCCTGAGACCCCAGGACGTCCATTGATCTTGGGTCTTGGGTGTGGGAGCGTCACGCTTACAATAGCAAAACCCTCGAAACCCAAGACACCCAGGGCACCCTGGAGGCAAGCAAGGTGTTTCTTGGCATGGGCCTCCACTGTAGCTTCGATAAGTCCGGCGGCCCACGTCACAGCAGAATTGTGACCGCGGATGTCTGGGTTGGCGTCGAGCACGAACGGTGAGACGAAGGCAGCACAAGGACAACATCGGACAGGGATACATGGGGAATCTCAGAGATCCAACGGCTCTGCAGGAAGTGTCGTGCGCCGCGGCCTTCTCAGAGCGTTCCGGAACGCTCTGGAACGAGTTGTCCCTTCCCTGGCCCCGCCCGAAAAGGGGCCGGGGAAGGGGGGCAAGCATCTGAGAAGGCAGGGGGCCTCTCATCAGAAGGGATCGGCCCCTCCGAAGGGGCGTCGCAGAAGGGAGAAGGGCTTCCAGGAGGCCGGGTGCCCTCTCAAAGGCCGCCTCCCTCGCCCCACCCCCTCGTGCGCGCCGCCAAGGGGCAGGTGTGGGAGGAAGTGGGGGAGGAAGAGAGTGAGGAAGTGCACGCCCCCAGAGCAGCCGAGCACCCCCGAGGCCAATCCCCCGTGATGGTACGCGGTTCCGAACCAATAACCCATTGGAAAGGGTACATCTGTCCGTGGTTGTTCCGTGGTTGTCCTGCGGTTGTCCCAGCGGTTCCGCAGTTGCGCCGTGGATGTTCAGTGGTTGACCCGTGGGTGTCTCGCGCATGTTCTTCCCTGGCTGACTCGATGGCTGTCCCGTGGCTGTCCCTTGGTTCTCTGTTAGCTTCGCTGGTTGCTTCGATGGCTGGCTGTCCAATGGCTGTCCTATGGTTGTTCCACGCCTGTTTGGTGGTTGTCCTGCGGTTGTCTCGTGGTTACGTCGCAATCGTCCTGCGGTTGTGCAGTTGCTGTTCCGTGCTCGCCAGACCGTGGCACTGATGACCGGATCGCCGGATCGTGGTCGGTACATCTGTATTCGGCGGTGGACGAACCTCCCTTTAGCAAACCACCCTTTAATGAAAACGGCCTGGGACCGAAACCGACGGACCTGGGCCCGCACAAATGACGGCCGCGACGCCCTCTCGCGAGCCGAAAACGGCCAATTCACTAATCGACGTGTCAGGGTAGGATGTCTGTCCACCCCCGATGCATTCTAACCGCCACCAGTCGCCCGTCTCACAACTCCGGCTGCCGAGAGCACACAGCCTCCCCCTGCCTGCCAGGCCCGATGCAAAAAAACCCTGGACTGGGGCTGCGAGGCAGATGCACGTGCTACGGAGTCGGTGCCAGAACGACCTCAAGAGGAGGAGGATGGAGGAGGACGAGGACGAGGACGAGAACCAGGAAGAGGGAGCGCGGTTGCAACAAATGGCTGTCACACGCATCGATAACTCAAAAAACTCTGGCCCAAACAAAACAACAGTCCACAAGAGGAGGAAGAGGGGAAGGGAGGAGGAAGCGGAGGAGGACGTGAGGGAAGGGGAGAGGGGCCATGCCCACGAACCCAGAAATCCCCCACGAACGCAGAACCTCTCGGAGCGACTCACGAACACTTTCGCAGTAGCAAGATGTGGAGAAGCGGCGGCGGCAGCGGTAGGGAGAGGCGAGGGAAAGTGGCGAGACGAACAACTACCACAGGTCGTCCTTGTACTGACAATATCCGCCACTAGACAAGTTGTCCAGATTTCGAGCTCGAGAAATCGGGGGTGGGCGAGGACGGACGATACATGCGCAGTGTAGTCGAAGGATGGGTCGTGGAACCGATAGAAAGGAAGATCGATAGCTACATACCGAAATCAGCAGATCTACACATCGCGAATTGGAGCCGAGGCCAAATGCAACTCGAAAGCTGCGCCCATCCCCCCAGGACCCTTATCACCCGACAGGTGGTCCTGTGGGAAAAGACCCTCCCCCCGACAGTGCTTGCATCTCCAGATTCTTCTGTAGCGCTGCAAGAAACTGCCCCTGGGTGGCGGTCGGCCGTAGACACGCTGGTGCTCCATAGTCGGTATTCTCAGGTTCTTGCCCTGCGGGGCACCACGATCCTATTCTCGGTGCCTGTGGTTCGTACCCCGTTGTTGGTACTCATGATCGGTGCCCTGTGGCACCCTACGAGTGGTGGGCTCTGGTTGGCGTCCTAATTATGGTGCCCTACGGTTGGTGCCCGGTGGTTGATGCCTTCTGGTGCCCTATAGTTGGTGCCTTGTGCTTCGTGCCCAGACGGGGGGAGAGGAGGAGGAGGAGGAGGAGGAGGAGGAGGAGGAGGAGGAGGAGGAGAAGGACGAGGAGGAGGAGAATGAGGAGGAGGAGCAGAGAGATAGAGGGATAGCAAAAACATAGAGATGGCATGGATCGAGAAAGAGAGGAAACGATGCAACTAGAGAGAGAGAGAGAGGGCGAGAAAGAGAGAGAGAGAGAGAGAGAAAGAGAGAGAGAGAGAGAAAGATACAGAGAGTCAGGTTTTGGCAGGAGTACGGATGACGGCCAACCTGGCCGTTTGGCGGGCCAGCGCGGACCGCAAGGCGGCGCGCGGACGGGTTGCTGACAGACTGATAGGTGGGGTGGGTAGACAAGGCGGTCGCAAGGACGCACGAGTGGACGGACGGGGAGGCGGATGGAGGCGTCCTCCTCTCCCTCGACGAATTCAACAAGCGTGTTCACGGTGCATCGCTGTCCTGCCCCGGCTCCCTTCGCCCCCTGTTTCCATCAACGCACGGTGTCCAAGGGGTGGTCCGCTCAAACAGATTCAGAGTTCCGCCACCCAGGCCAGCGGAGACGCCACGTCGGTGTCCCGCTGCTGGAGTGGGGCCTTGACCTGTCTACGCAAGGGGTCGCGTCGCTCACGTTGACAAGCTTTGACTGGCGATACTTGATCGCGGCATTGGATGTTTCTCTTCATATCGATCGGCTTGCTGACTTCGAGTGTGTCGGAGCTCCTCCTCCTCCTCCTCCTGCTCCGAGCGCACTCCCCTGGAAAGACCGAGTCCCGCCGCGTGCGGGCGTCCTGTGAGCTGCAACTAGCGCAGCACCTCGAAGATGGGCCAGGCTTTCAAGCCTGGAGGTAAACGTCCTTGCGCTAACCTCTGAATTGCCTTCCTCCCCCCTTCTGTGGGAGGTGCACAGACTGACTTCAACTTACTGCGGGCCCTAATGGTCCATCCCCCGCAACGACTGCACCAGCAAATGCCGTTGGGAACTTGCAAATGGGGATGGTGGGACGGATGTAATGCCAAAGCGTGGGGCCGACAGGGTTTCTTTAACCAAGTGGGCATCCTAATTTTGACACTACCTTGCTTCTTACACCTAAGACAGGCTATGTTATACTCGGGAGCCACAGGGGTAGCTAAAAGACAGTGGGAGGTATTCTGAAGGGCATCCTGGAGGGCCTGTACACTTCTAAGGGCTCTCACTCTCCTACGCTCCTCCTTCGACTCCTCGTCCTCCTGGGGGAACTGGTCCTTGAGTTCCCAGTAGTGGGTCTGGATTGCCGAGAGACGGTCGCACATCATGTTTGCGTGGATGTCTGCCCCTTGAATATGGCGGACCAAAGCGGGCGGTACGCTCCGTCGACGGGCAGCGCAACTGGCAATGTCATCCACTTGCTCGTTCATGTAGAGCGTCCAGGGCGGCTCGTTGGCTGCCTCCTCCTCCGTCGGGTGACTCTTGACCTTCTGGAAAAATAGCTGCGCGGCACGGGCTGATGCATACGTCCAGAACTTCTTCCAAGCCAGGGGGTTACGAGCGTGTCGGGCCCTGGGTCCTTTCAAGAAGCCTTTGATGACGTAGAGGCAATCGGTGACGATGACAAGGGGTCCTCCTGTGGCTTGGAGAAGGTTGATGACAGCGGCGAGTTCAGCGAGGGGAACTGACTGCTGGCCTCGGATCCCTCCTGAGAGTGAGCCGATGAACTGCAAAGAGGATGGTTCCTCCTCCCCCTCCTCCTCCTCATGTTCATCTTCCTCCCGCCTTCCTCATCCTTCCTCCAGCGTCCCTCAAGCATCCCATTCTCTCCCTCCTCGTCATCCTCTTCCTCCTCTTCTTCCTCCTCCTCCTCCTCCTCCTCCTCCTCCTCCTCCCCGTCTTGCCTTCTGTCTCCTCCCTCCTCCGTCCAACTTCCTCCTCCTCCCCCTGTCTCCTCCCTCCTCTTTCTCGTTCCTTCCTCCTCCCTCCTCCCTCCTCCCTTCTCCTACTTTTCCTCCTCCTCCTTCTCCTCCTCTTCGTCGTCCTCCTCCTCCAACTACTCCCAGCCTCCCATCCTGCCTCCTCCATATCCTCATTTCCCCTCCTCCTTCCCTCCTTCCTTCCTTACTACCTCTCTCCTCGTCTCCTCCCTGTTTCTCTTCGCCCCTCCCCTCCATCCTTCGCCTCCCACGCACGCGGGACAGACGGACGCACACGTGGCGGGGCGGACTGACGGACGATCAGGCCAGCGGGCGGCGAGGGCGGCCAGCCGCGCGCGTGCAGAAACGGGCGGGCGCAAGAAGACGGACGGATGGGCAGAGGATGCAGACACCAATGCGTGCATGGTCACATGGAGCGTTCCAGGCACCGTGGAAGCGAGAATGTTGACATCTCTTGGAGGGTGAGCTAGTGCTTCCGTCGTATTCCGCTGGCCTTCCGCCAACTTCTGCCCGCGTAATGTTACTTCCGCCGCCTTCCGCCAGCTTCTGCCAGATAAGAACCACCTTCCGGATGCCTCCAGGACGAGGCACTTTCCGAAGCGCCGAACACCTACGGACATAAGAGCAGAAACGGTGCGAAGAGAAGGAGAACAATGGAAGCTGAGAGGCAATCGTGAAAGAACAATAACAATCCAGCAGAAGGCACGAGTGCAGTGTTAGGGCTGGCGCGTGACGGCGTTCGCCTGCGAGCGTTCCTCCGCCATGCGATCCCACAAGTTGACCACCTATATGCCCAGCGCGTCAAGCATAACAGGAGTGACAGGCAGAACGAAGGTGAAAATGAGAACGAGGTTAACATCTCACAACCCACGCCCTCCTCCGTAGGGCGACAAGGAGAATGATGCCGAGCGCCCACTGAGCTGAACGCAGAAAGCTAATAGAAACGCATCATTAAAACCCTGCTGCCGAGAATGGTATTCTACGTGACGAGCTGGTTGATGCACTCATTGACCACATACTTGAATAATGCGCAGATGATTGAAAATGGGGATGACGATGATCAATTAGGCAGGGAAGGGGGAATGGCGGAACGCCTCCGAGGTTGCTCGACATGTGGACCGCGAGAACCCACCCCGCTGGCGAAAGTCTGTACTGGGACGTGTTCAGGGGCGTAATCACGCGAAGAGCGAGAAGTAAAACCCACAAAGGACGTGGATGGGACACCCTGGTTCCTTAACCACCTTACGTTGCTGCAGCTGCTCCTCCTCCGCCTTCTGGTTTCCTGAATCCCTGGATTGACTACACAAGCCCGCGATGTGCAGCCAGTAGAAGAGCGACGAGAGCGGAACGGAACAGAGCGGGGACAACATTTGGGCATCGCAACACCCAACCTCCCCCAGGTGGGTCTGCTACGGCCGAACATGTTCTTTGTGCTGGGGTCGATACCTCTTCTAAGGAGGCGAAGGGTATTCACGGCATCTGCGTTCAGAGGGCGCCCAAGACACTTCTCAAGTAACTTATGCACCTTCGTTCGACCAAGACAACATGCGCGAACACAGAAGACATCGAGACCCCACTACACCTTACGCGAGGAGTGGGTCTGCCAGATGACCCGGGGACTTCCACTGCACGTGGTTAAAGCCAAGGAAACGCATGACTTCTCGCGAGAAACAAATCCGGCAAACAAACCCCTTCCTACCCTGCTGAACCTCATGGCCGCCTGGGCTCGGCACGATGAAACGATATCTGGGCGTCGCGTCAGCCCTAGACTTGACAGGATTCACATCTGATGTCTCGAGCAATGGCCCAAGAGCCTGGCTGTGTAGACGGCCAGGGAGGAAAACTACCTGGCCCTCCTGGCCTCCACCTTGTGCCGGCGCTAAGAGAAGGATGCCTGCCAGGCGACCTGTTTGCTGGAAAGTCCACAGTTCTGTTGCCATGCCGTGCCCAGCCCGAGCAACCTAAAGCACCCGCCGCCAACCTGGGCTTGTGGGTGGGGGCCCTGAAAAGAGAGGCACCATTCGAACCGCGATCCTCGGCCCTCTGACAGACCTTGGACCAGAGTTCACCACGCGGAATGTCCGCGCAGCCCTGACGACAAGCTATGCCCCAAATTGAAAACAAAGCTTAAGTCGGCCGTGTCCCCCCCACAGGGGGATTTCCGACGAAAAATTAAAAATACCCAGAAAATGCACCAAAAAGGTAAACAAATACTCACAAAATGGTCCCCTAACTATTTTTGAAACATTGCTTGATTATTTTGGGGGTATTTCTTATTTTTCGTCGAAAATCCTCCTGTAGGGGGACAGGCCCGACTTAAGTCAAGCTCTGCCCCAAGCTGAGAACAAAGCATCACAACCGACGCCCGGGGTTATATACGGCCAGGGTCCGAGCGCCGACGCATCGTGGGCAGCGCGTACCATTCAGCCCCACACATGCCTGCAGGGGGCGCGGCAAGAGCTCATCCTCCTCCCCCCCTGCCCCTCCCTCTCCTGCTCGTCCTCCTGCTCCTCCTCCTCCTCCTCCTCATCCTCCGCCTCCACCTCCTTATCATCATCATCATCATCATCATCATCATCATCATCATCATCATCATCATCATCATCATCATCATCATCATCATCATCATCATCATCATCAGCATCATCACCACCACCACCACCATCATCATCATCGTCATCGTCATCATCACCATCATCTTCTTCATAAACATCATCATCATCGTCATCGTCATCGACATCATCGTTATCGTCATCGTCATCAGCAGCATCAGCAGCATCAGCATCATCATCGTCATCATCATCATCATGATCATCATCATCATCGTCATCATCATCATTATCTTCTTCATCACCATCATCATCATCATCGCCATCGCCATCTTCGTCATCGTCATCGTCATCAGCAGCATCAGCAGCATCAGCATCATCATCGTCATCATCATCATCATCATCATCAGCATCATCATCATCATCATCATCATCATCATCATCATCATCGTCATCACCATGGCGAATCAGGGTCACGCACGCTCGCCGAAACATCCCCCTGCTCAGCCACCATGGCGAATCACAGGGGACGTGTCGGCCCGAGCTCGTGGGTACGTCGAGTGGGCCAGACATGTTGGGCCCAAGCCTGGGATGTGCGGTGGGGGGGGGGCGCCCATCCTCGATAGAGGTGCGTCCGAGTAGCCCCCTCGGGGCGTATCCCAGGCTTCCCTCCTCTTCCTGAGCAGCCAAGCTTTTCGGGCGGAGCTCGGGGATTGGGGGAGAAGAATCACCTGCGAGCGAAAGGCGCAACCTGCTCTACTGAAATGCCGAACTCGGGGGCCCATCACAGAGCCATCAGAGCACAGCAAACCTTCCGCATGCCCCGACTGTGGCGGCACCAGCCACCTCCACCGGGAGGCGCGCGACAGGCGAGGCGAGGAAACAACGCGTGAAGAGGGAGTCATTAGCGCCAACCCTCTCCCAGTCAAGCAGCCCCCTCCAGAAGCCCTGGTCCCTGCGAAACTGGGGGCTCCAAAGGCGCCCAAACAACACGCTATTGCCTACTGATCGCCGCGGACCAGGCAACGCTCGCTCAGAACGCGTCGACCCCGAAAGAGCTCGTACTGAGGGGCCAGCCCCCCACCCAGACACACGCGTTGCTAGAAGCCCTGCCTCGAGAGCACCACCTCGGCGCCTGCGCATCTCGCAAGCGTCTGCAACAGGCTGCAACGTCGGCCCGTTGAAGGCGTCGCCCTGGCATTCCCACCTCAAAGCAGACAGGGCCGCATCCTTAGTTGCAATATTCACCAGGCTGCAAGTCATAGGGTGCATGAGATCAAGCGGCATCTGAATCGGCATGCGCCACTTTGACCAGGACTCTGGGGCGCAACCAATCCTCTGAAACACACGCTTAACAGCGCCTGAAAGCGCCCGCACATCAGCCCAAGACAAACCGGGAAACTTCTGGAGGTAGCCCTGGAAATCGCTCTACACCAACTGCCGAGGGGCCCAGGGGCCCTGGAGGGCATTCCTCCAGAAGACTACAGGTGCCGAGTTGCCGATGTCAGCTAGGGCTGCTCTTTCATTGCCTGGGAACGCGAACGGTGCAAAGCCTGGCCTGCCTCGGGCAGGGCCAACGACGCCCTCCGCAACGGCCGAGCGCAGAGTCTGCAACATTTTGTTGGAGATCCCCATCACCCCAGCGCCGCGAAATCTGACTGGTAAGGCCTCCGCGCGCGAGACCGAGGTGAGGTCTTTGAACTGCGACTTCACATATTGGGGTCGATTGGCCCTGGAGCGAATGCGAGCGATGCGTCGTTTCTGAAGAAGTGCCGACTTTTTGGCTCGAGCCTGACACATCCACTCACCTTGGCCAACTGCACGGCTCCTGGGTGACCGCAGTGGAGGCCACCACCCATCGCCATCACCAGCATGACAACCTCGAACGCTCACGTGCACACGGGGCCCGAGTTCCGAATCGTTACCGTCAGATGGCTCGGGCCCAGCGCGCCGCGGCGCCCCGGCAGCTCGTGGTGGACTCGATTACACATTGCATTGCAACACACAGATCGACACCGAGCCCGCGGCAGCGGGCCTCGCCAATTCCAGCAACTTCACCCAGCTGTGGATCGTCTACGCCGGGAAGCGCCAGCTGGAGCGGCAGGCATCATCCCTGACAAAGGCGGCACCCCCTGGCCAAAGTGGCTCGACTTCCTCGGTACGGTGCGCAGCGCTGCCGTCGTCGAGACGGTGGTGCGCTGTGCAAAGATCGCAGGACAGCTCGCATGACGAGCCCAACGCCGTGCTTTGAACAAGTCCATGCACGCTTTCCGAGAATGGGCGGCCACATCACCCGCCCTGGGTACCCTTCACAGGTCACTCAAGCCGCAGCCGATGCCAGCAGAGTCGATCGCCGTGGGCGAGGTGACCTTGGTCCACCCCAAGGACCTCCTCGACCACAAGGTCACCGGTTGGCACCAGCTCTGGGCGCCCACAGGCCAGGACCTGTCGGGCCTCTGCGACTGATTTGAGCGAGTTCTTGAGCGCGTCCGGGAACGAGGATTACCACCTCTCACTGGAGCGGATATCCGACGAGTATTTCGACGACAGATGGCCTGCACAAGCCCAGGAGCAGACAGACTCAGCCCCTTAGAAGAGCTCGCACGCCTTTCCAACGTCATGGAACAAGTCCTGATGTGGCCGCACCAGCTCCTCATGACGATAGGAGTTATGCGGGCCAAGAAGGACAACGGTGACCGCATCATCGGGCCCCTACCTGAGGTTGCCCGAGTGTGGTCCATGTGCCGCGAGGATGCAGTTCAGGAATGGAACCAACCGTGCTGCGCGCCATGGGATGCTGCTGTACGCGGCAACTCCGCACTCCGCGAAGCCTACGAGCGAGCTCTACAAGAGGAGATCACTCCTTATGTTCAAGTACCAAGAAGACACGGGCTCGGTGACATTTCCCAGTTCTACAACTCGATTTCATGGATCGACCTCGGCAACGAGGCTCTTTACCTGGTCTTTCCTCCAGAAATATTCGGACTCGGGCTACTTGAATGTATCGCACCACGGGTGCTCACTCAGAGTGGCAGCTACACGACACCTTTCCAGCCATCAAGGTCCATCGTCCAAGGCTTGCGGGCGGGCACGCGTTTCGCCAAATGCTGCACATACAAGGCGATCCAGCGGGTCACGCAGGTGCACCCGGCCTGTGTCCACCGCATCTGGGTCGATGACCTATCGCAGAGGATCCAAGGGTCCCATCGTGTCATCCGACGAGGGCTGCTGAAGTGTCTCCTGGACATCTGCCGCAGCCTTCGCGAGCGGGGGCTCAGCATCGCCAAGAAGAGCATCATCATGTGCTCCAGCATGGGCGACGCGAAGTACATCGCCCGAGGACTGGCTCGTCGCGGCTTCCGAATTCTTCCACGAGCCCAGGCCGCATACCTCGGCGCAGACCTGGGCGCTGGAGTGCGGCACGCCAGGGCCACTCGCTCCCAGCGCCATCGAAAGCACAGCCTCATGCACGGCAAGATTGTCCGACTGGCCCGTGCATCTCGGCGCTACCACATCACGGGGCGCCTCACACAACAGGGAGCTCAAGCCGTCGGAAGCTATGGGCATCAACTTCACGGCGTCTTCGGGACTCAGCTGGTATTGTTCCGATGCCGCCTGGGCGAGGCCATCGGACCGCGGCTTCAAGGAAGGTGCCTAACTACGCTGCTGGACCTCAAGGCTGCCTCAACCGACCCCGCTCGGAAGTTTCCCAGAGAGGCAATCCAGCTGTGGCTCAGCACTTGGATTCAAGCTGGGCCGATGCAGAGCACTATCAATTATAGGTTGGAATCAGTTGTCGCTCACTTTCGGGAGCTACCAGCGGGCCGCCGAGTAAGACACATTCGGGGACCGCAATCAGCACTCATCATGTACCTCATGGATCATGGATGGGACCCGAAGCAACCGAACGAATGGACATTACCACCAGCCTTAGTAGGACCAGATGGACATGATACCTGGGAGTCTGACAGCTCCCAACTGTCTGGCAATCCAGAGGTGGATATACCAGCTTCGCTACTTCAGGCTTTCGACCGCAGCGTGCAGACCAAGTATTGGCTGCAAGCGAGCAGTCACTACGGCGGCTCAGGTATGGAGCACGGGATCGACAACCGATCATATCGCAAACTATTGGATTACCTCGGCAAGATGAAGCAAGGGCGCCGACTGTCCGCTCTGATGCTCACCATCGCCGTCGGCACCACCTTGCCGAAGGCGCACGCGCCGGCAGAGAACCGATCAGTCACGGACGGCCTCTGCCCACGATGCCGACAAAAGAGACAGCATGCCATCGCGCTTGGGAGAGCGATCAGCACCGAAGCTGCCCAATCTACGATGCCACGGCCCACCTGGCAGGCGAGGTTACAGCCCAGCAGGATATGTACGAATGCTTCTGGACTCGTGGATTAGTACCTCAGCAGTGGGCCACGTACCTGCCCCTGTACTCATACCCTCGTGGACCACCTACGGAGTCGACTTGTTCACGCCAGGGTGTTTCGAGCAGCGACGCCGAGGTGAGTCCATCTGTATATTTGGCGACGCAAGTGGAGGAGCTGACACGGCGTCCCCTGTACTACGGCGTGCCGGCGTCGCCATCGCGGCCTTTCACGACCTCGACGCCAACGGCATGGAGCTGGACATGGCGCTCTGGGGACCACTCCCAGGGGAGCGGCAGACTGTGATACGATGCGAACTACTTGCCCTCCGCCTCACCCTGCAGGTCTCCGACCTCGGCGTCGTCTACGTGACAGATTGCGAGGGCGTCTACCTGAACTTCTACACTGCCCACCCTCACCAGCCCGTCGGCCCCGACGCCGACCTCTGGTACCAGGTTGGCAAGCTGCTCGGAGAGAGGCAGGGAGATTTCATTGCACTCTTTGTCTTGTCTCACCAAGGAAATGAGTGCATCATGAGAGGACGAACCAATCGATCGTTCCCATACGGCAATGCCGTTGTCGATGAGTTCGCCCGCGTGGCCGCCGACGAACACAGAGTGCCAAGACGATCAGACGGCAAAGTGATTGAGATGAAAGCATATCTTGTTCGCATGCGCCTTCTGAGGTCCACCCTAGAAGCCCTCGAACTCGAGCAATCCCAAGAGGTAGCCGACAGGGGAGCCCATGTAGGTAGGAGACGGCCCAGGCGAGACAAGGCCCAGCCTGCCCGACCCCCTGGTCCCGCTCTGTTTGCCGCTTTCGCTTGCACACATATGCTGGGCAAATCAGACCGCGCATGCACAGTGTGTCATGGGTCAGCCATACAAGCCACCCGAGTTGAATGGTATAGAATGCTTCAACCTCATCCATGTAGATGGCACTTATATGAGCCCCCCCCCCTGGGCAAGCAGGTACACGTAGCAGGGGGGGAGGATTCATTAAACCCATCATCCGAGGTTCCACGCGGGGCTGGGGATTTGGTTATGTGCGTTTTGTGGCACGTATGTCTCCAAACAGATTGGGAAACTGGCGTCCACCTGTGAAAACCCGACCGCCACAGGGCGTGAGTATTTACGACGTATTAACTTGGGGCCCTGGCCCAAAGCTCTCAGCAAAGCTGCGCAAGCCCAGAGGAAACACCCACAGTAGATGCTGGAGGATTTCCTGCATATCGCTACGCGATCAGGCAGAGACTCACAAGACCCACAAGATCCGACAAGGTGTCCCGACACTCCATGAGCACCGAACACCTACAACAGAAAAAAACAGAATCCGAATGGGGCCCTCCAGCAATGGGGAACGTCGACCGAGGGACAGAGGGCCCCAACCTGGCCGAAGAGCCAGGCACGACACCACGGAGGAGCTTCGACCTCTCGGATGATCGCTCCGGATTATTGCGGGGCTGCAGCAGCTTTTCGGCCTCAGAGCCTCCTCCTCTTCCTCCTCCTCCTGCCTCCTGCCTCCTCCTCCTGCCTCCTGCCTCCTGCCTCCTGCCTCCTCCTGCCTCCTCCTCCTCCTCCTCCTCCTCCTCCTCCTCCTCCTCCTCCTCCTCCTCCCGCCCCGCCGCCCGAGCGCGGCCCACCCGCGTGGCGTCGCCAGCCTGGCCGTACGCCTTGACCTGGGCGCTGCACGACGGGGGGGGGGCAGGCGCGGGGCAGCTGCGGGGAGGAGAAGCTGGAGGATCTGGTGCGTGCACACGGTCGGCGTTGCAAAGAGAACGTTTTTTTCGTTTCACCATGCCGAACACTCCATGCCCCTGGACCTCTTTTCAAGCAGGGAACAGCAGCACACGGGTGGCACTACATATGAGGAATCACTTGCGACTCAAATGCAACCTCCTTGCGACTCGAATGCGACCTCAAATGCAACCTCTTTGCGCTGCAGAAGGAGAAGGTGCAGCATCGATCTCCGAAACGCACGCGCTGTCCATGCGAGGCAATCCAACCGCGCGGCCCCTTCTCCTGCACACGCTGCCCTGCGAGGGCATCGTCGGCGCATGCGATCCCCCTTGCCAGAGCTTCCTCGGCGCACGCTATCACCAATTGGCGGTGCGCAAAAGGGGGTGGAGGGAGGGGGGAAGGCTTCTTAGAAGGAGGCTGCTTCTTAGAAGGCACCGGCCTTACATCTATAGATAAGGCCCGCGCCTTCTAAAAAGCAGGGGTGCTTCTAAGAAGCCCTCCCCCCTCCCCCCACCACCCTGTGCGCGTGGCTGAACCAAGGTGGGGGATAGGGTGTAAGAAGCGGGACGGCGGGGCAACATCGCACGCTATCTTTGCAACGCCAACCGTAAGAAATGAAACGGAGGAAGACCAGGAGAGAGAAGGGAGAGGTGGGAGGAGATAGGAAGGAGGGGAAGAGGGAGACGGGGTAAATCTAGCTGGGAGCCCGAAGGGCTGACTGCGGAGACTGCCAGGACGTCACCACGGACCCTGGAGGACGCCGTCTGGGAAGGGAGCCCGAGACTCCAAGACGCAGTGGATGTGCATGCAACTCTGGGCCGCAAGCCCTGCGGACGCCCCGACGGTCGCACAGCCCCTCCCCCCTGGCCGTGAGGGACAAAGGCGCGGCGCGAGCAAGAG